CAAAAGAAGAGAAGAGGCTCAACTGTGCAAACTCAGGCAAGAATAACCCTTAAGCCATCAGACTCATTTCTCCTAATTAACTCAGAATGCTTTTCAAACTCTGCTGACCGGGATCTATGCCAGCCATCATCCTGAAGAAATTCAGTGGTGGCTGAAAGGGAAATGCTACAACCAGAGAAGACTTCTGGACACAAAACAACCAGAGATGTAAAGGGGCGTAACTGTCCTCACAGGTGATGGGCTGTGGGGTGGGGCTCAGCGTGACTGACCAGAGACAGGCAGGGCAACAGAGGCAGTGAGAATCCAGAACCTTCTGACAGTTTGGTCAGGCTCCATGGTCAATGACACCCGCCAGGGGCCAGACCTGGAAGCTTCATTAGGAAGCACGAACACAATTCATACTGAGACCAAACAGGTGATTAAATGACCAAAGCTGACTGGTTGTGAGAAATAGGGAGTGGTGAGGATTGCAGCAAACAGGAGAGTACCCAACCCCTCCAAAGGGGACAGCTGCCACTGCCATACTGAGATGTGGGCAAGAGGTGCCTCTGCTCTGGGTCCCATGCTCTGGGGGGGTCCCTGCTCTGGCCCCTCCTATGGCTGAAGCCCTCCACATGGAGTAAGGAGTCCATGGTAGGTCATGTGTACCTGGAACACGTACCCACCCTTCTAGACCACATTCTGGGTATTTAAGACCCTACATTTCCCTGTCCAAATGGCCCCAAGCCTGTCTGTTCTCAGACAGACAGATGACACTTGACACTTAGGACAAAACAGTGGCAAAAGGAAAGCTGGCTTGGGGGCAAGTGGCCAGAGCGTGATCATTCCAGCTGGCACGCTCCCTGAGGAGTCCTCAGGCTCCCTGGGGTGCAGGATGGGGCCACAGGTGAAGAACGGGCACCACCCACATCACTGCTTCCTGGCACAAAATTCCAAGGCGTCCTAGAGTTCCAGATTCCATTCTAGCCTTCTCGATCATTAGGAAGGGATGATCTGTCACGGCATAATAAATGTATCATCTGGGTTTGAAGCTCTGTCACTTTACCTATTTAGCCATGCGGGATATGGGCTTCCGTTTACACTCCTGCTCACATTCTCACAGATGTCAGGGGCAGGGTGACTGTGGCCAAGCAGGAACAATGCTAAAAACAGCGATTTTTATGTGACATCCCTTGATTTTTAAATGCAGACAAATCTCTCAATAATAACGATGGTGACAGTAATAATAAGAATTGGGGCGGGGATGAGGGTGGATAAACCAGATGTGTTTGCAGGTTGGATGAGGACTGAAGGCTGCTGGCTTGGCACCTGCAGCCACATGGTGAGAACAGCCAGCACCCGAGCAGAACTTCCCACCCATCCATCCAGCGCTCCATGTCTGCGTTCACACTTCACCGCACAGTGACCTTCTGAGACAGGTGCTACTGACCCGTTCTGTACTCTGGGGAACTGAAGCTTGGTGGGGTTTGAGTAACTGGCCCCAAACCATAAACTCATGGGTGGTAGTGCCAGAATTTGAGCCTAAATCTTCAAACTCCAACCCTGGCTTCCTTTAAGTGTAATTCGTTTCAAAAAACACTCTTCAGGCCTCTGTGATCCTGACACTGCACCAGGCACGGAACTCTTGCAGCAACGTATGGAGGAGGGATCCGAGGCCCTGAGAGGTTGTACAGTCAGTGTGGGTTGGAGCCGGTTGGAACCAGGGTCTGAATTCTCCAGAGCTGGAGTTCTGTCCTGAGAACAAGAAGGCCCAGGCGGAAAGGAGTCTGCTGGGAAGGGGCTGCCCTCAGTTACGAGCAGAGGAGCAGCAGAATGAGCCTCTTCCCGGCTGCCGTGCGTGCAGCTAGAGCCGTAGGAAGCTGCACTCTGTGCTCGTGGGTGGGGGCAGGGAGAGGGGAGAGTCTTACACAGTTCTTTACATTAATCATTGTAAAAAAGAATCCGTTGCGAAAATAATGTTGAAACAAAGACCCACACAGATCCCACTCCTAGTTAGACCGGAGGCCCTGGGGGTACCCGCTGTAGCCAAGAATGAGGGCAATACAAACAGGTGGTTTTGCATAGGTGAGAATGACTAGAAGGGCACAGTTGTGTGTCCAACATGGCCCACGGAGGACAGACCCTGGTTCTGGCACCCATGGGGTCTCAGGGGCATCAAACCAGCCTGTCTCAATACATCTCTTCCGTAAGTTGATGCCCATTACATTTTGCGTGCCCAGTACCAGGCACTCTGCTAGATGGTCTGCATCCATGATCTCATTCATTCCTCACAAGAACCCTACAAGACATGAGCTACAAATTCATTTTACAGGTGAGGAAACTGAGGCATGGAGGTGAAGTGACTGGCCAAAGAGCACACAGCAGATAACTAGTGGAGCAGGATTTGAGCCTGGAAGTGGCGGTTCCCAAGGTCTGTACTCCTGACTGCTGGATGACACTGCCCACTGTCCCCCGGGGACTGTCAGCTCTGCCTCTAGGGACTGATCGACTGAAATGTACTCTCTCTAGTGTCTGAGAAAGGGGTAAAGTGGAGAGCTTATGCTTCTGAGGGGATTCAATGAGCTACCACCTGCAGGATACTTAGCATGGCATCGGGCAAAACAAATGTCACACGACCCAGTTCCTTACAATCTAATCAGAGGCTCAGCCCGCCTCTGCAGCCCTGCCTCCAGCTGCTCCTGCCACCCACCCTGAGCCCAGCCTCAAGGAGCCACCTCTCTACGCAGACTGAGCTCTCCCCACAGCCAGCTGCTCCCCAGTCTTTGGGGATCCTGCTCAATGCAGCCTCCTCTTTGAAGTCCTCCAGAAGCATGATCCCACTTCCACCCCCACCACACTCCACGCAGGGCAGCTCTTGGCAGGCCCTTCTGGGCTTCAAAGCCTGCTGTCCAGATCCCCATTTCAGCACTTATTTTGGGTGTAATTACATGTTCACAGATCTATTTCCCATAATAGGCTTGTCTGAGACCCAATATGCATTGAACAGAAACAGGCAGGGAAATCTAGGGCTAGTGCCCCACGAGGGGGAAAAGCTCTGAAGTACGTGGGATGCACGCTCCTGATGCCAGGCCCCACCAGGCCAGCTGCCACGGTGAAGCTCTGCTGAGCCCTTCCAGGAAGCACTACAACAAATGCCAGCCAGATACAAATGACCCCTTGACTGTAGTTCCCCTTCTGGGAAGAAGTGCTAAGGAAACAACTGGGAGAACAAGAAGAAAAAGTTTTATGCCCAGATTCACTCGGTTCTGATGGCAAAAACAAAGAAAATCTATGTCCAACCACAAACGTGGGGCCAAGTCACCTCCGTGGCACTGACCCCTGTTTGGTGACTATCTCCACCTTCCAGTGCCTGTCACTTCCCTTCACTCAGTGGCGTCACCCTCACACACAACCTGCTCCCATTTGCAGGGGGTTAAGGCTGAGACCCAGAGGTCGTGATGACAGTAACAGCCACCAGTATTGAAAGCCCTGTACCAGGCGCATGTCTCAGCCATCTGGACGTCTCAGTTCCTGCTCCCAGCAGCCCGTGAGGCAGCTGCTCTTCACACATTCCCTTTGCCAATAAGCGACCGAGGCCTGGAGATATCAGCAATGCGGCCATGGCTGCACTCCCACCAAGTCCACAGTCTTATCCCCTTGGCTCCAGCTGTCATGTCCCGGGTCACTCAGCAGCTGGTCACAGAAGAGGGCCTGGCGGACAGGCACAGCGGCTCTGAGACCGTGTGTTTTCTGCCATGAGATGTTCCTCTTGCTACAGGCCGCAAACCACCCCTGTTATGGGCTGAATTATGTTCCCCCAAAGATGCTGAAGTCTAACCACCACCATTTGTGAATATAACCTTTTTTGGAAATAAGATATTTGCAGGTGATCAAGTTAAGATGAGGTCATTAGCATGGCCCTAATCCAATATGACCGTGTTTTCATAACAAGGGGAAATCTGGAATAGAGACAGACATTCATAGAGCAAAGACAATGTGAAAACCCAGGGAGAACATGATCTACAAGGCCAGGATCACTGCAGCCACCAGAAGCTAGGAGAGCACGATGGAACAGATTCTCCCTGGAAGCCCTCAGAAGGAAACAAACCTTCAGACACCATGACTTCAGACTGGCAGCCTCCAGAACCCTTAGAGACTACATTTGCTTTGTCTCAGCCACTCAGTTTATGTTTTTACAGCAGCTCCGGTTACTAGTCACAACAGATTGTGAGGCAGCTAGGAAAATGGTGAGAACACAAGAGCCCTGGCCAGATAAGTAACACCTGAGGTGCACACGACATTAAAGGGACATCAAGGGGCAGAACCATGCCGGCCACCTGATCGCCACTGCAGTGAAATCACACGGGGGTGCAGAGAGAAGACTGAAAGCATCAACTAAGATGCTTCCCAATTTTTTTCCCTGTTCTATATTTTTCCAATGTTTTCCAGCATACTTGCATTAGTTTTATAAATTTTGTACAACTGGCTTAAAAAATATATTTGAACCACGAGAATCTGGAGGTACATAAGAATCCCTGTTATAGGCTGAACTGTGTCCCCCCAGATTCCTATGGTGCAGTCCTAGCTACAGTACCTCAGAACGTGACTGTACTTGGAGATTGGGCCTTTCGAGAGGTAATTAACTTAAAAATGGGTTGTTAGAATGGGCCCTCTTCCAATATGACTGGCGTCTTTGTAAAAAGAGAAGATTAGGACACAGAGAGAACACACGCACGCACAGGGAGACGACCATGTGAGCACACAGCCAGGACGAGACCGTCTGCAAGCCAAGGAGCGAGGCCTTAGACAAAACCAAACCCGCCAACACCTTGACCTTGGACTCCCAGCCTCCAGAGCTGTGAGAAAACAAATTCCTGTTGTTTAAGCCCACAGTCTGTGCTGTTTTGTTCTGGTGGGCCTGTCAAACTAACGCAATGAACCAAAGCAGGGCAAGCCTTCCCACGGCCCCCAACGCTGCAAGCTGCTGCAAGGGACAGGCAGGGCACAGCAGCGTCACTCACCCAGGCAGTTGTGTCCATCGTGCGCCAGCATGAAGCCGTCAAAGCAGGTGCATCTGTAGTTCCCGGGGATGTTGATGCACTCGTGGACACAGCCCCCGTTGTAGTAGTCATTCTCACACTCGTCAATATCTGCAAATTGAGGGGCGTGAGAGATGTCAGAGGAGAGACATGGAGAAAACAGGAAGAGCATGGGGGTCCTTTCTCCCCCCATGGCTGAAGCCATCAGGAGTGGCTCGGGGATGACTCAACAGCTATTCACTAAACAGCTATTCACTAAACCTTGCGGAGGGCTGGGGTCCCAGAGGAAATAAGGATGAATAGCCTGGCTCTGCAACAAGGCTGGCCACCACCTCGCAGAGCAGGGCCACGTGCCAGGCATGTGGAGGTTGCTTTCCAGCTCTCAGCACAGTGAAGCAGGCAAGATTCACACCCTGCTCTGTCCCTTTCCAAAGCCTCTCAACAAGAACACCACACAGGGACCTTGCCTAACATCCTCCCAAATCGGCTCTCTTCAGCCTATCTGAACGCCTCCCAGAGATGGAAAGCTCACTGCTTGTGAAGCAGAGTATTGAATAAGATGTGTACACACCACTGAAACGTGTAACCTCTGGAATGAGAGAAAAGTCCATATATTCCCCCCAAATAGTTTCCTCCATACCAGCATCTGAAGCCTGAATTTCTACTGCTCCAATTTCCTTGTTATACAGAGTTTTCTGTCTCAAAAACAATGGTCAATCGCCTTTGTACAGGTCACCCTTTTTGCTGTTTTAAGTCTTTTTCAACATTTCGCATCAGGGGTTAAAGGGCTATCAGTTCGGGAGTTCCACGGGGATTTGAGAGACCAGGGAGAATGACAGGAACACACCTAGTTAACATTTAACAAGCTGCTTCTTAATCAAAGTCCATGGCAGCACCATGCCATTACTTCTGACTCACTGATGCAGGCACCATCATCGTTATTCCGATTTTACAAGGGCACTGAAGAAACCGAGGCACAGGGAGGCCAAAACCTTGCCACAAGTCACACGCCCAGAAGTGGTGGAAGTGGGATTCGAACCGGTGCACCCTGGCTTGAGAGCTGAAGGGCGCCTAACCCCATGTCACCTCTGGGAGGGGCAGGGCCGGGCCGGCAGCACCGCTGGGGGGCTTCGGCCTCCCCCGACGGGCGCTCCCTGGGCTCCGCTGTCTCAGCCTATACGCACCCCAACCCCCACGGGCTCTGCAGGGAAGGTGGAGCCGGAAGCGCCCGCACAGCAAACAGGAAGTACTACGCTGAGCCGAACCGGAAGTGCCCTGCTGAACAGAACCGCATAGGCCTCAGAAGAGGCTACGGGTGTGAGCAGTCCGTTTCCTCCTCGGTTGAAGAGGAGTTTTGAGACCAGGTTCCTGCTGTGAAAGCCGAGGTGGAGCCAGCCTGAAGACCAGAGGAGACCGAACGCCAAGTCTTCAGATGCCTGAGGAGCGGGCACAGGGGGCCGCACAGCCCCACGCTCTGCCCATGCCGGTCCGGAGGCAGAGCTACACCCTGGGGGAAAGCCACGCGGCCAGTTCATGTTTGCGGGTGGGAAAGTCCACCTGGAAGAAAGGCTTTCTCAGGAGGCAGTGAGCTCCCCGACTCTGGAGGTGACCAAGCACTGTCTGGACACCTGCCTGCCAGGATCACTGCCAGCAGATGGTGATAACTTCAAGGAAACCGGCAGCATTAAAGTGTGAGAATACAGAGCCCGGGCTGTGCAGCCTACTCCTGGTGCCCACCCACCCAGCCATAATGAGGGAAAAACATGGTTTCCTGGATCTCCAGAACAAAGCCTACGGCATCTTCAGAGGTGCGAGAGACAGGGCTTCGCCTAACCCGCCTGCAGAGGCCGTCAGCATCAGCTGGCAAGCAGCCTCAATTGTGGAAGTCACGTGAATTGCTTTTAATCATATTTAATACACTTAGACATTCAAAATAACGTTGAAGGAGAATATAAGATTTTGTTTCAAAATCTTGGGTTTTTTAAGAGCACATGGCTTTAAAAAAACTGAGATACTGCCAATGTCATCAGCCCTGACCTTTCATCAGAGCCTCAGCTACACCAATCCACCTCTCCCTGGATCTTCCAGACACTTCAGAGGCAACATGGCCCAACTCAGCTCATTAACCTGCATTTCCCTGGGGTTCTCCATCCCAGTGCATGCTGTTATCCCTCCACCTCTCCACTGACATCTAATCAGCTATCAAAGCACTTGGTTTAGGTCGGATCCGTCTGAGGGGAAGTGCTCTTATCCCACGCTTGGGTAAAAGAATTCTCTCTCTCTCAAGGTGTACCTCAGAAGGAAGTATGCAGAGAGCTGCTTCTGAAACATACACCAGCCCATTTCATGTTCACAGCAACCTTCTGGAGTAGGTATTTCAACTCCGTTTTAATGGTTGAGCAAATTAAAGTGAAGAGAGATTAGGTAATTGCTCAAGGTCACATAGCAAATGGTAGGACAAGGATCAGAACAGAGGTCTTTTAGTCCACAAAGCCCGTGTCCTTTCCAATAAGTTGGAATGATCATGACATACCAGGTATTGGCAAAATACTTTATACATGTTATTTTGCCCTTGGCACATTTATGCTATGTACTGAGAAAGTATTACCCTATCATCCAAATACCCATTCATCCATTCAACCTTCTATTTGTTCCATGTATACACACCCACATACCCCACAAGTGTGTGCGTGCACCTATCCATCTACCCAAATAGCCAGCCAGCCATGCGTCCATTCATCCTAACACACATTCATCTAGTCACTCTATAAGCTATGCATTCAAATACCTACTCAGCCATCCTTCCATTTGTCTATTCATGCTAAAATCTGTTCATCTAAATATCCAGCCGACTGGCCATCTTTCCATTCATCCTGTCACCTATTATTTATCTAGCCAGACATCCAGACATACATTCAAATGTACATCCATCCATCTAAATATTCAGCCATGCACCCATCTTTTATTCATCTGAACATCCATCCATTCAAACATCTAGTCACTCATCCATCCACCCAGTGCCTAACCACCTATCCATCTACTCCTGATCCAAAGATCCACCTCTCTCCAAACACACACATACACACACACAAATCTACCCATCCATCCATCTATCCAGCCATTCACCCATCCATCCATCCAAACATCTATTCATCCACCCAACTATTCCTTCAAATGCCTTCCATCCAAACAGCTTGCAAATACATACAATAATATTTTCCAAAAGAATAAAATGTTAGGATGAAGAAAAAGAAATGAGGGTTGGAGAAGAAGAGAAAGCCGGTCAAAGTATGCAATAAAGTATTTGGTATTTCCAGCACAATTTCAAAAGGTAGGCCACAAATATGGCTCTCAGCTTCCCAGAGGCCAAAGCAGAGAAGGAGACAATCAGTTAGAGAGTCACTACATCCATGAAATGCAATTAAACCAGCTTTTTTATTGGTGGTGAGGTCTGAGAAAAATGTTTCTTTCTCCAATTAGAGTGATCCTATGTCCCAGTTTCCCTGGCATAGTTCCCATTTATGGCTATTGTCTTGGTGTAATTATTAGGAGCACATTTTTCTTGGTATAATTGTTAACCCACACTTTATCAAAATGATCATCATAGAGAAATTGCTGAATTATCAGTCAGTAAACGACTCCAGACTTTTCCTTCCTTTGACACCCCACAGTGTAGGCCACAGTAGATGCCAATTGGTTGAAGAGTGCAGGAATGTTCGCTGCTCACATCTCCTCCGTTCATCTATCTCCAGAGAGTTCCTCCAGATCCAAGCGTCTCTTCAACAATCAGTTCCTCTCCAATCCTCAGGCCTGGAGGGTTCCCACGGGCTTCTGAGGCCAGCCTGCTTCTTCAACTGCCCAGCATTCCGGACTGAGAACATCTTGCCCACAAACCAACTCCCCTTCCCAGATTTCCTGTCTGTGCCTGGAACTTTTGTTTTTTAAAATCACGTGAGCCCCCTCCTTTAATACATAAGAAATAAACCACAAACAAATCAACAACAACAAAAATCTCTTCCAAAGCAAGTAGATTTATTACTGTAAAATACATGTCCAAGAGCCGCCAGTCCTGGAGAAAGATGCCCATCAGGCTTGGACCACTTTTTAAGGACCATTAAAGCCAGAGAATGAGGAACAGGCAGCTGGGATGGAGAGAGTGTAAAGGAATGGAGCGGGGCAGAGCCAAGCTCTCTGGATATTTATTCTTAGAGGACTGTTGTGGGTGGATTGCATGCCCCCAAAAGATGTACTGATGTCCCAACCCCTAGTATCTGTGAATGTGACCTGATTTGGAAGTAGGATCTTCACAGATGTAATTAGATGAAGTCATACTGAAGTAGGGTGGCCCCTAATCCAATGACTGGAGTCCTTATAAGAAGAGGGATTTTGGACACAGACACACAGATAGGATGTCAGGACAGAGAAGAGAACATCATTGGAAAACACCCAGACACACCGAAGGAAGGCGGCCATGTGATGACAGTGGCAGAGTTCAGAGTGGGGAAGCTGCACGAGCACCTGGCGTTAATGCTGCTCCCATTTTACTGATGTGGAGGCTGAGGCACAGCACAGCCGGGCACCTTGTCTCTGGGCCCCCAGCCGGTGGCTGCGTTCAAATGCAGGCTCTCTATGCCTGCTGGGGGCCACATCCTCCAGGTGTGCGAAATGAATACTTTAAAAAAATGCTTTGTGCTTCAAAAAGCAATTAAGGAGAAAGGTGGGGAGGAAGTGCCACATGTGTCATCATTCTTATTTCTAAGGTCTCTCCCTCCCCTTGAGGTTGATGGGTGGCATCATACAAGTGGGGGAAGGTGGGGGAACCACAGATGTGACCCGAGTGCCGGGGGTGAGAAGCAGAGGAGATCACATCACCCTGGACATCCGGCTCCTTTCCAGCTTGGATTTTTTTTTTTTTTTTAATGAAAACTTGATTCTCAACAAAAAACAGTTCCTAACATCCAACTGAGCAAAGACAAACAGCATGGGGAGCTGCTCATTATGGAATTTTTAAAAGGTCACACAGTTCCATTTTTCCTATATTAAAATGGCAGCGTGCACACGATCCCACAGCGATGGTTATGTGCCAGTACTGCTGGTTTGGGACTCGAGTG